AGAAAGGAAAGAAAGAAGGTTGACCATCGCTACCCCATAGATATGGTGGGTCTTTTCAGCCAAACTTCGTTATCCAGAGTCGCGCCATTTTTGAAAGGCGTGGTCTTGGTTATTGTGAACTGGACATATTTTTTGAGTTAATACAACGGTGAATCGCTCAAAATTGAAGTACTGTCAGTGGCGGTGCTAAACAAAAAAGCGCTTTCTGAAAAAGCGCTCCTACACTTCAAACGACCTCCCTTGTTAGTGGACTCTGGAGGATGATTAAAAGTACAGTACCTCTTTGAATGGTAGGCGCCGAAAATCTCACGAAGCGGTGCTCCTGACGTTCCTCTGAAAATATCCTTACATACATGAAAGGCGGCAACGTATTTCTACTTCACTAGGCTTGCTGTCCAGCTATTTCCCCACCTTCACGTCTTCTTTTTCATGGAATTCAGAGTACGCTCAAAAAATAGTCTGGAGAGTCAGGACTTTTTAACGTGTAGGTCAAGGGCATGAAGTACACATGAGGACATGGGGAATCGGATCTGCGAAGCAATGGGGCGGCGGGGTGAGCGGTGCTGACGATGAAAAATGGGTAAAGGTGTGTACCAGGTTTTCAGGCCGAAACAGAAACGGCCGCGCGGGGAAGGTGGAGCGTGTACAATGTGAGCGGTGCATGAAAAAAAAAACGATTCACAACACGGCTATAATAAAGCCTACAAAGCAGAAAAAGTTGCTGTAAAAGGCCAATGTCATGCGTCGCAGTGTAAAATGGTTCCAGAGCAAGAGTGAATGAATTGAGCGCGAAACCTTAAAACCTTTCCCCTTTCCTTAACTGTGCGGAGCGTGTCCTCAAGTAGAGTTTTCTACTGATTCTCGGTCCCGAGACTGGATTGAGAATTGATAAAGATTGGGAAAGTGTGGATTGCTTTGGAGAACAAAAGTGGTTTGCTATTGGTGAGTGGGGGGGAAGTGTACCGAGGTGGGCGGAGTATGTCAAGGAATCCTGTGGAATTCGGATCCGAGTCTGAGCGGAAACCGAGGAAAAGTGGATTGAGGTCGGTGAAGGATCAACAGCACTGGGAAGGTGGAGTGTGCACTGAGTGTTAAAATGCAAAGTGGATCAAGAAACTACTCGGAGACTGAGAAGGGAGTGAAAAGACATGCGAAGGATTCACTGCTCATACTGGGTAGACCATGCAGTGGGACCATAGCTCAAACGTTAGTGATTTTTTTCAACGACCAAGGATAAACATACAGTAGCGGTCAAAAGTTTGGAAACTTTTTTATTTTTGATCTAGCGCGGCCGACACATAACGAAATTGCCTCAAATTTAGATATTACATACAAAATCAAGTCCAGAATACGACGGGAAGAATAATTTCCAAAAATCTATAATCATATTTGAGAAATAAGATTTTTTCAAGTAATGGCGCGTCAAAAGTTTGGAAACTTTTTGTTTCCCTCATCATTATGATTCCTACTCTTCAATGTTTACTTGTTTCTGTTAATTTTAGTTCAACCATTGAGTAATGTGTAATTTCAAAATGAATTCATATGCAAAGGAAGCAGTTTTTCCATGGGTGTCCTTTTTTAAACCCTGCAATCCGGAATACGAAATAGAAATTGTTTCTTAGTAGTCTCTACGAAAGCAATATTATCGAATGTTTTAGTGTTTTTGGAGCCGAGTAAGCATAAGACGAGCGATCCATTCACAAAAAAGTATTCTCACAAGAAAATTGGTCTTCTTCAAATACTTCAAAGGGTAACCAAACTTACCCTCTAAATATGCCTTCATATAGAAATCGCGTGGAGCAGCTCAGTTTGAAATCTCTTTATTATCGGAGAATCCAGTCTATAGAGGTACCGTCGATGAATGAAGGTTTAGACGATGTGTGGTGGTTCAGTGGCGTATAATAGCAGCAATGCAGGAACGTCGTGATAGTTGAATAGTTTATTGAGTCGTACAGGAGATGACGACCAGACGAAGGATGTAGAACAAGAACACAAAGTGAATCCTACTAGCCATAAGGGCTTTTATAGCCTGGTTGTTTTGGAACATCATTATAAACAAACATGAACGTCTTATCACATTACATTGAACTACAATGAATCTATCGGTTGGATATCGATGGTCGAGGAATCGATATACTCCCGGCCCACACGTAGTTGTTCCGCGATCGGCTTCGAAGGTAGTAGCGTCCCGTAGTCTTCGACGATGCACTGTCTGATGCCGTATCTGTCGGTTGTGAGTCATGTGCTGTCATTTTTCGTGATGAGTTTCCTTCTGTCACGTCGTACGTATAACTAGGCGAATGATTTTTCGTGCCATCCCTGGTTTCTTCCTCTTCTCCGTCTAACTCGAGCGGGACGATTAGATTGATTGGGCGTCGTGTTGTGCGTTTATTTGCTAGGATGAGTTCGACATCACGCACAACGCCTTCTTTGTTTTGATTGACCTTCGTGATGCGTCCAATTTTCCAATGGTTTCTGGGGAGATTGGGATCCATAAGAAGAACAACTGTCCCTTCCGTTGGGAGTTTCGCTGTACCGTGGTTGTTGGCAAGGTAGCGTGTGTGCTGCTCTCTCAAAGCAGTGAGGTACTCTTCTCTCCAAATCTTCCAGAATTGCTCCGTGAAGTTGTATGAGCTCCGAAGAGCTTCCTCTGCTTGCTGTCTGGTGCGTAGCTGAAGGACGTCTTCTGATGGAAGATAGTCGGGATCATCTGTAACCTGTCCAAGTCCATCCATCGGGTGGGTGACGATCATGTCACGTTGTATGAAGTCGATTGGACGAAGTATTGGGTGATCATCCCAATGTTCTTCCTGGTATGTTAGTGGACGTGTATTCAGCGTCCCTTCTATCTCTGTTAGCAGCGTGGTAAGTCCTTCCAACGTGAGAGGGGCTCTTCCGATGGTTTTGTACAGGGAATGTTTAATGGTCTTGATGAGCCTCTCGTAGAACGCTCCCTGCCACGGAGCGTAAGGGGTGATCATCTGCCATGTAATCCCTTTGGTTGCCATCGTTGCTGATATCGCTGAGTTTTGTGCCAATGGATGGGCAGCTTCACGAAGAATCCGATCTCCGAGCGAGAAGTATGGAGCGTTGTCTGACGTGATTGTTTCCGGTACTCCACGGCGAGCGAAGAATCGACGAAGCGCATCTAGTAACTGCACTGTTGACATGTCGGTAACACATTCCAAATGGATAAGACGAGTCACTGTACATGTGATGATTATACCATATGCCTTCGACTTCCCTTCACCGGATTTGATCGCAATCGGTCCAAAATAGTCGATTCCGACGTGCTGGAAGGGTCGGCTTTTTGTGACTCGTCGCGACGGTAGGTCGGATAAAGCTGGATATCGATACGGTAAGTTATTCATTCGTTGACATGGTACGCATCTTCGTATGACTTTCTGGACCTGTCGTCGTAGCTGTGGGATCCAGTAGCGAGTCCGTACCTCTGCCATAGTGTGGGCTGTTCCCAAATGGAAGCGTTTGTGGGCATCTTGAATAACCAGGGTTGCTAGTGATGTTTGTGGCCCCAAAAGGATGGGCTGTTTGCTATCTTTGGACAAATCAGAATTGTGTAGACGTCCTCTACATCTGAGAAGTCCGTCCGAGTCCATTATTGGCACCAATCGTTCTTTGACCGGATTGATTTTTCCTTCCACATGTAGACGTTGGTGATTGCGTATGAGCAGTAGTACAGCTTGGTTACGCTCTGGAACGGTGGTGAACTCGTCGTTGTAGCGCTTGCGGAGCTGTGGAATGCTTCCTAGGATGGAATCCCTCAAGTCGGGATTAAGTCGTGTGACGATTCGATTGAGCCATCTTAAGGCATATGAAAATGCAGACGTTGCGTGTGCAACTGATGAGAAGCGTTTCCAGTCAACAATTTCCTGCACTGCATTCTGTTGCGATGTGGCTACTGTGTGTGTTGCTTTGGTTGATGGGTGTGGGCGAAGGGTTAGAGGTGAGGACGGGGACGAAGACGGAGGAGGGCTTGGATGAGTGGATGGATTCAAAGGTGTTACTGGTGAAGGTGGTGTTGGGGAAGAAACTGGTGGTGGATTTGGATGTGGAGGTGGGATCGGGAGCTTGTCTGATGACATCGACTTTCCTGTCAAGTTCGGTTTCCGACACTGCAGCTCTGCTGTTGCAGGCCATTGGCTCTGATCATAGCCATTAGCAAGGAACGGGAGGACCGTTCCACCACAGATGTGTTGTGAACTTTCCTTTCGTAAGTCCGCGAGTTGCACAGTCAGCAGGGTTAATACTTGTCTCAATGTAACCAAATGTGACCATGATTGCATCTTTTTTCATGTCATCGTTAATGGTTCGTATCTCTCTGCACCGATTTCGAACCAAGGTTCCGGCTTTGCGATCTACTTCTGATGCAGATAACCATGCAAGTGCTATTTCAGAGTCAGAATATACGGTGACTGTGTGAATGTGAAGTTGCCGTTGGAGAGCTCGTAGAGTTGTAAAGACGAGACGAGTTGCCATTGTCAAGGCATTCATTTCCAGCTTTGGTATTGTAGGTTTGTCCTTGATTGAAGGGAGCTTTGATTTGGCGATGAGCAGCTCTGAATGACCATTGTGTACCAGATATATGCAAGCTGCCATGGCTTGCTTACTGGCATCAGCAAAGGCGACAAGGTGTGCTGGTGATGTCGTAGCGCCGTCGCTTGCTTTTCTTTGAATGCGTTTCGTGAATCCTTGAGTCTGCGATAAAATACGTTTCCACTGGGATTGGTGTTTTGTTGATAACTGTTGGTCCCATTTGTAGTTATGCTTCCAGAGGCTTTGAAGAAACAGTTTTGCGCTCAGTGTCAGTGGAGTCATCCATCCAAGAGGATCATAGAGCGATGCTACCTGTTCTGATACAGTCCGTTTCGTTACAATTGGTCTGCTTGGATAACGGCATTCCAGTTCAAATGAGTCTTCTTCCGAAATCCACTTCAAGCCTAAAACCTTCGGCTTTGTTGTTTGGCTTAGCTTTTCTGTGGAAAGGCATTGGTTGACAGTGCTACTGTTGGTTCTGAACTCGCGTAGGTTCATGTTCATTTCTGCGAAAATTTGCTGTGCTTTGTTGCAGCGTTGAAGTGCCTCTTCAGGTGTAGCAGCTGTCATAAGCAGGTTGTCGACGTATATGTTGTCCTTGATCAAAAGTGCCATTTCTCTGTCTTCTATACGGTTTAGATGCTCGACGATTGTGGCACCCAATAGAAATGGTGAGCAGTTCAGCCCAAAAGTGACCCGTGTGAATCTGTAGGTGATAATATTGTCAGCGCCCAACGGCTTAGAAATATCACGTATCCATAGACAGCGCGTCGCGTCTCGATCACTGGTTTGCAAGTGAACTTGGAGAAATGCTTTTTCTACATCGCTGATTATCGCGATATTTCCCACGCGAAAGCGAAGCAGTATGTCGATCAGTGATGGTAGAATAACAGGTCCCTGGTGAAGTTTGTCGTTTAGACATGGTGAGTTCCTGAAGTGGGCTGAGCCATCAAATACGACTCGGAGCTTAGTGGTTTCCTTGTGAGGCGTTAAGACGGCCTGATGCGCTAGATAGTGAACTATCGGTCCGTCCGGTTCTGCCGTTTCGTCGACTTCCTCAATCACTCCCTTGGCTAGTTGATCTTGGAAAGTGCTATGATATTGCTGCAGTAACTCGGGCTGCTGTTTGAATTTCGAGTGAATGGATTTCAGCCTACTGTAAGCTATCGCTCGATTGTCTGGAAGATCTTCAGCGTTGTCTTTCCATGGTAGACGGACATGGTAACCATCATCACGTCGTTGTAGTGTGCTTCGAAATTGTTCCCAGACTCTGTCGTTGATCGCGCGTGTTTCTTCAGCTTGAGTTCCTGTGTACTCCTCGACTCCAGCGGACTCCAAGCTCCAATATCGGTCCCACTGCATGAGTTCGCTGTCATCGTCAGGTGCCTGCGCTTGAAGCATGTTGAGTTGTACATCCAGGGAAGCGAGGTTGCTCCTACCAGTGACTAGATATCCTAATTTTGAGCGAAGGAGTCTTATTCCTGATGGGAGAATGTGCTCGTATCCAAATCCATGGTCAAACAACGAGAAGAGGTCGCCACAGCCTAGTAGGATGGGCGTTTGCAGCGTTAGAATTTGTGGGGAAATGGATAGTTTGATGTTGTGACGTTGAAGATATTGGCGATCTAGCTCGGAGAGTGGGGTGCGTTGCAGGTCTCCCATGATGAAGTCAATCTTCGCCAGCTCGAATTTGTGTCGAACACCTTGACGATCCTCAATTTCGACTTGAGCCTTCTCGCAGGATTGCTCGTTCGGAGAGCTATCGCCAAACGTGTGGATTATTAGTTGAAGCTGGCCAGTTTTCTCGAGTCCTAGGTGCTCTGCATAGTCGTTTGTGATGAACGACCGATTTGCGCCGGTGTCTAGCATGATATGAACGTCTTCGAACTCCTGCCTTCTAACATTCCAAACTCTGGCTTGTCCTACGAGTAGATCCTCTGAGCGTGAAATATCTTGGTGGTGTAGTATGGCTTGGTCATTGATTTGGCTCAACCTTGAGCTCTTTTCGGCAGTTACGGTGGAGTTTTGTCCTGTTGCCATTTTCTTTGTTGCGTGCCCTTCTGTATGGGTCTTTTGCGGAGCATCTCTTACTGGTTGTTTGGCTGATGCTTGCGGATTGAGGGATTTCCGACAGATCGAGGTGTGGTGACCCTTTTGCTTGCATTGTCGGCAGGCTCCTCGAGTGCAGTTTTTGGTGCGATGTTCTCCTGATCCACAGTTGTGACAGAGATTTCGTTGACTTATGAGCTGCAACCGCTGATCAATTGTAGGATACCTTGAGCAGGATCTCGGTGCATGATCGCTCTCGTTGCAGTAGAAACAGGGAGAAGTCCTGTTGTTTCGGTTGTTTGCAAGTGTGTTTGTTCTCCCAACGGGCGGAGTGCTAATGTTGGATTCTTCTATGGTTCCTCGTATATTCTCAATTTGAGCTTCCATATTGAAGAAATCCTGGAGGTCCTGAAGAAGCTGCTTTGTTGTCCAGCTCGCTCCGTGGAAGGATGTCTTCTTTTTCAGCATGGCTCGCTGGATTTTGTCGCTAAACTTCTTCAAGACTGTGCGTCGCATCTGTTGCGTGTTGGTGTTTTCTCCTTTCCGCTCCAGTTGAGAAATGATAGGGACTATCTTGTCCAGTGTATTCATTTGGTCGGTAGTTGTAGTGCTTGCCGGTTGCAGGTCTTGCAACTCTTGAAGCAGCTGGTTAACAACTGCGTCTTGATTGTCGTACTTATTCTTCAGAAGTTGGACGGCAACGTCGTAGTTGTCCGCTGTGATTTGGAGCTTGCTAACCGTGTCCTTTGCTGGCCCCTGTAGGGCTTCTAGTAGGTAGCTCAGCTTTTCAATTTTGCTGAGGTTCCTCGTGTGGACGACGGTGTCGAAAATGCCCCAAAAGTGATCCCACTCCCATAGTCGTCCATCGAACTTGGGAATGTGAAGTGGCTCGAGACGCGGCATAACCGTCTCGTCCAAGGGCGAAGTGGGTATTTCTAGATCCTCATTTTGTCTGAGGATCAGAGAGAGTTCGGTCAGACGATTCTGGCCTTTCAGACGTACAGTATGGGCGTTATCAATGTTCTGTTCAATTTTTACCATTTGGCTTCCTTCTGGTGGTGGTTGCAGCTCGTCAGCTGCTTCAATGTAGTGGTCTAGCGCTTGTTGCAGATTAGCCATCTTGATTTCCAATTCCTGACGTTCCTGGTGTATGCGTCGTATTCGGTAGTGGTTGGACTCATTTTCTGCGTCTCCATCAAGACTTTCCAGTGAAGCGTACCTTTCGAGTGCTTCGGCCAATACTGTGCTCATTCGAGTGAGCCATGAGAACGAAAATCCAAAATCGACAAACTCTTCACAGAAAACGGTTGACGAAGGTAGAATACTGAGCCTCGGATCGAGATGTAGAATGTGCAGCCAATGTGGAGATCTCTGGTCTGCTCTGAAGTTGTACGAACCAAAAACTCACGTTCGGCCGATGCACCAACACTATAGAGGTACCGTCGATGAATGTAGGTTTAGACGATGTGTGGTGGTTCAGTGGCGTATAATAGCAGCAATGCAGGAACGTCGTGATAGTTGAATAGTTTATTGAGTCGTACAGGAGATGACGACCAGACGAAGGATGTAGAACAAGAACACAAAGTGAATCCTACTAGCCATAAGGGCTTTTATAGCCTGGTTGTTTTGGAACATCATTATAAACAAACATGAACGTCTTATCACATTACATTGAACTACAATGAATCTATCGGTTGGATATCGATGGTCGAGGAATCGTACAGTCAGATATAGTCTTGGCTTTCAAAATTTTAAGAGGCGAATTGCACTTGCGTCCATCTAAGTACTGGATGTTCCGCCCCACTGGTGGTAGACGCGGTTGTTCATTTCAAATTGTTCCAAAAATGGGTATTTGCAGGCGCAGTATCAGTGAAAACAATTTTTTTGCAGAACAAGTAAATGGCTGGACAAGCTTCCTTCATCTCTTTTAGCCTGTGATAATTCCGACAAATTCAGAAGAGCTATCAAGAAAATTGATCTTCTTCGTGTGATTGGTCTTCCTGATATTATTTGAAAGTGTTAATTTCACTCTAGCTAGCAGTTTACTGTATATTATTCACGATTATGTTAGCGTTGTGAGCAAAAAGGATTGCAGTCTCTCAGTAAGCTTCAAATCAACTCTATACCATTCAATGGTGATGAAATATAATGGTGAAACGTCTAAATGGTTGTGTTATACACCAGCTGTTGATCCAACTTGATTAAAATCTACGGAATTCATTCAAAGCCAATTAGTAGCTTTCCTCACATGCGCCCCCGAGCCAGCCCCTTGGGTTCGTATTTAGACCAAAGAGGTGTTTCCACGCCCGCCCTAGTAGGGCTGCGGCCTCGCAGTAGGGTTATCTTTGAGGCACTAACCTTATGGCTCATGGCAATGCTCTTTGTTACTTCCAAATCTGTACACAAATTCACTGATCAACCTAGTGTATGACCCAGAGTTCGAAAAAAATACTCAAGGAATCTTTTGAACTGCCCCCTCTCTCGCTTTTTATCCTTTACAAGTTGGTTAAGTCGGACGTTGACCCATCAATTATTGTGACTCAACTGAGGACGACTGCTGCCTTTTTAGCGTCTGATAGTATTTCTATTCGAATATGCTCTGTATGCCTACCAAGCGCGTCCACTGGACGTATAGAAATAAATAATAAATAAATGTCCCAAACAAGAAGCCATTGTTGGGCTTTAATAGCAGGATGGCCCAACTGGCTTCCGCACACTAACGGCTAACATAGACCTAAGGCGAGAGGTAAAACTTTGTCCTCAGCGACGAGCAGGATTTCTATCTTCCTAAAAATGATGTTGTGGACCCTGTGAAGTGTTCAGTCAAATGGAAACCTCATTAGAGTATGAAGAGTCAAATGGAAACCTCATTTTGAGTATAAGATTCCAACATTCAGAAATAGTGGAAGTATTGCCATGGATGAAGATGTGTCCGACCATTCGGCGATTCCCCTAGTATCCAGCGAAATGTGGGTTGGGCTAAGTACAAGTATAGTCTATAGAATACAATGCTTCCTTCGATAGTCAGAACTGGCCGAAAAAGATGGGTTTTTTCTATCGTGGAAATGACCCAATGCAGGCCTACCTCCTCACTGCCGCCTTCCTAAACCCAGAAAAAGAAGCTGTTATGAAGCGACCAAGTCGAGATCTAAAGTCCAATTGAGTTCTACATCCCACGGAAGAACTGGCATGTCGCATGTCATCATACAATGCGATTAGTTCGCAGTGTGCAGGGTTCGACTTAAAAGTCCTAAAATTATTTTATAAGTCAACTCCATGTCAATAAAAACGACGCTGACATAGAAATTCACAGCTACTCATCGAATAACTAATTTATCATGTAGATTCGAGAGCTATTTTGCCGAATTCGCTTTGGAATTGAGAAGTTTCCAAACTTTTGACGCGCCATTTCTTATAAAAATTCGTATTTTTCAAATGCGATTCTCGTTTTCAAAAAATATGTTGCCATCGTAATCTACACTGATTCTGTATAATATGTGAATTTGGGACAATTTCATTGTCTATTGGCTACACTAGATCAAAAATAAAAAAGTTTCCAAACTTTTGACCGCTACTGTACGTAGTAACACTCGTACGGTTAAACGTACGTGATTTCACTTTAGAAGCACACAGAAATTATTGAACTGATGACTTCAACGAATTTCCTCAATGACGGCCTGAGAGAGCAAGCGAGAGCATTGTTGCTCCATTCTGTTCGTGTCACACATATTGTAGGAAGTCATCTACTGCGCGCGGATATGGGCTTGTGCGACCGAGTTACAATAAATAAACGAACTTTCTGTACGCTAAGAAATGTGCAGCTTCCATGTGACTTCGGAAGAAATATATTGTATCATGTGCTAGATTTGTCACTGTATTTCAACATGTGAGGACTTATTTTAAGGAAACCCACCTCCTTCCACTGTAGGCGCTGAAAATCTCACAAATCCACGACGCTCCGCTGGCTCGTCTGAATATTTTCCTACGTAATGGAAGGCAACGTTTCCCGACTATATGTACAGTAGGCTTGATAATTTTGAGCTCAAACTAAAAACTTACATTCCCAGAACAAGCAGCCGACATTGAAGTTTTTCTAATATCAACAAGCTGACCCCTCACATGTATTATAGAACCCGATAGCGCGATTTTTGCGAGAGCATCTCTAGCGTTTTTACAATTACTTTTTTGGTTTTTGCACAGTTTCACAGTTATAGGACCACCCTAAGATGATGAACATTACGCTATGAGAAACAGCAAAACCGAATGTTTTTACAAACACAACCGCAACCTGAATTTCTGGAATGTTTCGTGTCCGCCTTCTGAGGGAAAGGCTTAAACTCCGATTAAGGGTGCGTGCGGCTTAGTTTCATTAAATGATAAAATTATATGCGATAAAACTATATACCTAAGAAGTGTCCGGCTCTATTGTGAGATTCAGAAAAAATACATCATGCCTCATTGTTGCTATTGCTATCACGACGGTGATCATTGATTGAGATTTGACCCCCCTGATCGCGCGGGAAGTTTAGTACATAAGCCAGTGACTTGCCTTTGAAGTGTTCATTCATCTCATCGACGCTCGCGGATCGTGCATTACAAGGATAGAGCATTCATTAATTCATTCATCTACGCGCTTTTATTTGTTGTATTCTCTCATCCATTCGTTATCGTTTATTCATCCATTCATTTATTTCTTTCTCTAACGCATTCGTTATTCATCTACGCGCATCCATTATTGTACTCTCTAACGCAGTCGTTATCGTTCACTCATCCACGCGCAATCATTGTTTGTATTCTCTAGTACTGTTGTATTTCCTATACACTAGTATTCACCAATTGTTCGCTATTATAAAATTGATACGTTGTATATTGATTATTTGCTGTCATGAATCTCTTCGAAGTTATATTTGTTGGCTCATACAATCATTTCGTTGATTCACTTCCATTTTTGATTATCTCACTCGTTGTATTATTCACCTAAATACTTGAGAAGTTGTTTCTTGATGTTATATCGCATTCGTTGTTCTTCGTTATTTGTTATTAACGCATAAACGTTTAATTACCCAAGTTTGAGCTGTTGCGCACGAGCTGGTCATCATCCAACCTACCGCGACAGATTCTACAACTGGTGCATCGGCCAAATCGATCGATATTCAGCTACCACAAACGACTGAACCACCGTCAAGAGGAGCAAGGAAGAAGACGAGAAGGGTGAGCAGTTTATTCACCGTGTTTAAACATAACCCTCTTCGATTTGAAGTATTCTAGTCTTGCGCATGTTCACTATTTTTCAGTGCATTGGTGCATCCAATTGGATTAGACCATTGCTTCGCTAATAGTGGAAAGGTGAGCACTACACTTTGTTGCAGTGCACAAGAAACATCCTCTTCATCATTTCGAACATCATTATAGCTCGTGCATCCTTGAGTATTTCTCAGTGCGTTGACGCACCCTAGTGGAATCAGAGCATCGATTCATTCAAGTGCAGTCGAAAGCAAACTTGGGAAACCAGCATTAAGAACCAGGAAAAGGTGGGCACTAAAAACCATCAAGTGCATAAGTAATAATAAGTTCTTCAAACATCATT